GTACAAGAGACACTGCAGAGCAACCTTCTTATCCTGATATTCTCTAGGTGCTTTGAACAACAACTGGACACAATTTCCAGGGGTGGGTTTCAACCGGTTCGCGGCGGTCCCTGCGAACCGGTTGGTCGCCGAACCCGGAAGTAAGTAACTTCCGGGAATGGCAAAGGGCGCGCCCGCCCGCGGCCCTTACCCGGTTTTGATGAGTTCTGCGCTTCCACGCATGCGCAGGACGCATACAGCGCCTGCGCGATCGTCCAGGAGCAGCTGGAGCATCGCGCAGACGCTAGTATGCATGCGTGCACCACGCGCGTGCACGAGGACGCCGCCGGCCCCGTTCCAACCGAACCGGTTGGAACGGGGCGAGGAACCCACCTCTGTGGGGAACCTATGGCACACGTGCCACAGGTAATATGCGGACCCATTTGTTAGGCCACGCGAGGTGTTGCCCTGTCAGCTACAGCGCACATGTGTGCACTGGCCAGCTGACTTTGGCCTTCTTTTAAGGCTGTTTTTTGCCTGCCGGAGGTTTCCCTGAAGTTCGGGAATGGACTTCCAGTTTGCCTGTAGGGGCATTTTTCGCACTCCAGAGGCTTCAGGGAAGCCTCCTGAAGGCCCGGAGGGTGAAAAACGGCCCTATGGCCAAACTGGAAGTCCATTCTTGAAATTCCACTTTGCACGTAGGGCCATTTTTCAAGCTCTGGAGGTTTCAGGGAAGCCTCTGGGGGTGGGGTGGGGAGATTGTTTTCGCCCTGCACAGACTCCTAGAAAGCCTCTGGAGCCTGGGTAGGGGGAAAAATGGGTCTATCACGTGCCAAAAGTGGGGGGGAGGGGGGTTGCACGCACATGCACGAAGGGGGGCTCACACGCATATCATTATGGAGGTGGGCACGCCCGCGCATGACTCCCCTTCACTCCCCTTGCTTTTGGCACGCGATGGGAAAAATGTTAGCCATCACTGTCCTATAGCTTTGATTTGTTCTACAAGTCAGAATAATAAATACAACAGTTATGACCTTCTACCCTTGGCTGAATTTCAGCATCCAGTCTAGGAGGTCTACAGTTTGTATGCTTAGGATGAGATGGTTGAGGCTTGCCATGAATGATTCTTGAGTCATACCTTCAATCTTACTTTAGCCCTTTCTTTTCTTTTGTAAGACACGTGGGCAGAGAAGAAATGGGGGCACAATGTTACAGAGTTCCAGCTGCGCTTTGATGAGATCTTGACACAAGGCGAAGGTCCCAGGAGGCTGAAGAACCTGTATTTCATCTATCTAATTGAGTTACGGGCTCTCTCAAAAATCTTGCCCTTTTTTGAGCGCCTTGATTTCCAGCTTTTCACAGGGGACGAGGATCAAGATGTAAAAACCAAGAACCTTCTCCTGGAAGTTCTTCATTTAATTAAGTAAGTGCAATCCATTTCAATGTTCTTCTTTGGTCACTCCAAGTTTGGGGTGCTGTTTGTAATCCTTCTTGCTTGTTAGTGGTTATTTTCAATGGATTGTTAGTCTCCCAGAGTTGGATGTTGGGTGGGCATAAATTGAATACATAAATAAAATAACATAAACAAAGTCCTTGGGTTGATGGGATGATTGTGCTGCAAAGAGCAGGTTCTTAATTCACTTTACTGGTGTAAAGTAACCAGTTCAAACAAAATGATTTATTTTCAGTGATTTATTTTCAAGGTATTATTGGAAGTCACTAAAAGCATTGTAAATAATTTCTGAAGGTTAGAACAATATTAGGAAAATGCTAAATGGTATTATAAATCTATTCATGTTTTGAGTGTATATTTAAAGCGTTGAAAATCACAGCGTTTTCTTCATCTTAACCACTGATGGATAAAAAGATTTTATTAATTTCCCATCTTCATTATTTTGATAAATAACACAAGACAACTAACATACCTAATACTCCTTCCTCCTCCTATTTCTCCCACAACAACAACCCTGTGAGGAGAGTTGGATCGAGTGACAGGGATTAGCCAATGGTTACCCAGATGGCCTTTATTCCTAAAGTGGGACTAGAACTCACAGTCTCCTGGCGATTGACCCAAAGTCATCAACTTAGTTTTCATACCTATAGTGGGACTAGAACTCACAGTTTCCTGGTTTGTAGCCTGATGTCTTAATCTCTCCACCAAATATGAAGAACCAAGAGCCCATTTATTTGTTAATATGTACAATGATACATTCATTGCACACTGTGTAAGAGAGCCAAACAAATAACATTCCAGATGGATTCTGTAACTAAATTGGGCATAGAAATCAGGCATTCCAAAATGCAACCCACTCAGGAAAGGTTTCCTTGCTCAAACCGAAATGGGGCACTGCTTATTATACAATATAATACAATACAATAGCAGAGTTGGAAGGGACCTTGGAGGTCTTCTAGTCCAACCTCCTGCCTAGGCAGGAAACCCTATACTGTTTCAGACAAATGGCTATCCAACATCTTCTTAAAGACTTCCAGTGTTGAGGCATGCACAACTTCTGGAGGCAAGCTGTTCCACTGATTAATTGTTCTAACTGTCAGGAAATTTCTCCCCAGTTCTAAGTTGCTTCTCTCCTTGATTAGTTTCCACCCATTGCTTCTTGTTCTACACTCAGGTGCCTTGGAAAATAGTTTTGCCTCCCTCTTCTTTGTGGCCATCCCTGAGATATTGGAAGACTGCTATCATGTCTCCCC